ATCCTTCCATCCCTCCATACCGTCTTCCATCCCTCCATCTCCCCTCCATACCACCTTCCATCCTTCCATCCCTCCATACCACCTTCCATCCCTCCATCTCTCCTATGTACCACCTTCCATCCCTCCATCTCTCCTATGTACCAGCTTCCATCCTTCCATCCCTCCATACCGTCTTCCATCCCTCCATCTCTCCTATGTACCACCTTCCATCCTTCCATCCCTCCATACCACCTTCCATCTCTCCTATGTACCACCTTCCATCCCTCCATCTCTCCTATGTACCACCTTCCATCCTTCTATCCCTCCATACCGCCTTCCATCCCTCCATCTCCCCTCCTTACCGCCTTCCATCCCTCCATACCGCCTTCCATCCCTCCATCTCCCCTCCTTACCGCCTTCCATCCCTCCATACCGCCTTCCATCCCTCCATCTCCCCTCTGTAGTCTCTCTCTCTCGGTGGATAATCCTTCACGGTTTCTTTTCTTCCTCGCAGGCCGCGGAATGTTCTAATTTCCGGAGTAAAGAGCTGCCGCCGGAATTCCAGCTATTGTCTGTCTGAGGTTTGTGGGTTCACCGGAGATCCCGGCCTCCTCTAGAAGTTCTGGATTAGGATTCTGTTCGGCTGGAATCGTTGTTCTTCGCTGAGTCTGAACGCGTCCTTCCCCTCTCTGGATGAGATCCCACATCTTGGATCCCCTCGTCGGCTGGAGACATAATTGTGACTTCTCCTTCCAGGTTCTTCCCGTACACTGACCCTCCATTGTAAGAGAAGTCTCCGGGACTTGGCCGGTCATGGCTCTGCTCCTCCACGTCCTCTCCTGCTTGCTCGGATTGGGCTCCTGGGTTGCCATCAATGGTGTGTGGGTGGAGTTGCCTCTCTTGGTGCCTCAGGCACCCGAAGGTTGGGAGTTGCCCTCTTACTTGTCTCTCCTTATCCAGTTTGCCAATATTGGGCCCCTGGCAGTCACTCTGACTCATAGGTTTTGTCCGGGGCGACTCCGGGAGGGCCCCGTCATATTTGCCCTGTTAGGGGTGGGGGTTGTGTCCTGTTTGCTCCTGGCATTTCTGTGGCAGGAAACAAGCTGCGTAGGAGGCACGCGGAGGAGTACGGCCCTCCTCTCGCTCATCTTCTTCCTGTCCTTGGTGGACTGCACCTCCTCTGTCACCTTCCTTCCATACATGACCCGTCTCCGGCCTGACTACCTCATCTCATATTTCATCGGAGAGGGTCTAAGTGGCTTGATGCCCGCGCTCCTGGCCCTGGCTCAAGGCGTCGGGGTCCTGAGCTGTGACCCCGTGAACATCACCGAGACCAACAAGTCATTTGCGTCTGGGAATCTCACAGCGGTCTACCAGCCGGCCAGGTTTCCCGCCTGGGGCTTCTTCTTGTTCCTGGCGGGCATGATGGTCATCTCTCTAATAGCCTTCACCATCCTCCACACCATGCCCGGCACAAAGATCCTCAGACACCAAGAGGTGGTGAAGAACAGGAAGAAAGAGGGAAAGGGGGTGGAGCAACGACCAATGATGGAGGTCACTGGGGTGAAGGAGGACAGGAGAAGATATTCAATGTGGGAAAAGATCTTCATCTTCCTCGTCCTGGCTTGGGTCAACGCGCTGACCAACGCCGTGCTGCCTTCAGTCCAGACTTATTCCTGCATGCCATACGGAGGACGCGTCTACCACCTGGCCGCCACTCTTGCCTCCATGGCAAACCCGCTGGCCTGTGGCATAGCCATGTATCTGCCCAACAGGTAATGGGGGCGGGGCACTAACCGGACACTATACACTATACCATGTGATGTCCCCATCAGTTGTACATACGTCCAGGGTTCAGAGGTCAGGTCAACGTACTGATCCATCTATGGCCGCCAGTCCGCCATTTGTAGGGAGGCCGTCCAGACGCTCCGCCCCTTGCCACATACATATATGATAGATATACAGACACATGTTCTATACGAGGAATACTGACCGAGGACATCCAGGCCGCCATCTTTACTATCACCCAACACATCAGGAGAGGTTCAACCTCCACATAGAGAGCGGCCTCTTCAGTCAGAGTGCGGGAAATGTGGAGGACACTTCCTCAGGGGAGGTTCTAGGTGTCCAGAGGGTATAGGGGTACTAGGTGTCCAGAGGGCATGGGGGTACTAGGTGTCCAGAGGGTATAGGGGGTACTAGGTGTCCAGAGGGTATAGGGTGTTCTAGTTGTCCAAAGGGTATAGGGGTTCTAGGTGTCCAGAGGGTATAGGGGGTTCTAGGTGTCCAGAGGGTATAGGGGTTCTAGGTGTCCAGAGGGTAAAGGGGGTTCTAGGTGTCCAGAGGGTATAGGGGGTTCTAGGTGTCCAGAGGGTATAGGGGTCCTAGGTGTCCAGGGGTAACCATCAGAAGCTCCAGACTCACCGGACCTTGTAAGCGTAGCAATGCAGAGACACCAGACCACATCAGATGGCCAGATGGATGCAGATCCTCAATCCAGGAAAGACACCGACCATACTACTTCAAGAGCCTGCATTGGTCCCGGTTCTCTTCCTCTTTCAGTCTCACAGACCTCCTCCATGTTGGAGGCCTCAGGGAAAACTTTTCCCTCACTTCAGCCCATACCCACCCCCAGGCCTCAGGCCTAGCCTGGGGGGAGAAGGCTGAATAGGACCCAGCCCTATTCCATGGCTGGTCCCGACTAGTCTGAGCACATGGCAAATCCCTCCAGTATATGTTCCCTATCCCAGCATGCACCACTGGCTGAGAGAAACCCAGTGATTGGCTGCTGTGCTGTACATACACTACAGTGCCTCTCATTGGCTGTCCCACAATATGACAGAGTCACACTCCGCCCAGGGGGGTACAGGCAATGTCAGACACCTGGAATTAACCAGATAATTGCCATATTCCTATTTCTGAGCGATTGTCGACTTGCGGAATATCCGATAGTCGCAGCGGATCAGATTGGTTCCCCGGGATCGGATGTCTTTGGCATAACATGTGACTGAAAGCTGATTGGACGCCGTATATAATGTTACATATAAATACAGGAAATGATGACACAATATGTCCTCCTGTCTAAGAAGTGGGAAGCAGAGGATCATGGGTACATTATATGTAACAGAGGACGGTGCTGCTTATATTTGGGGTGACAACTACACAAATTACTGCAAACTGGGGGCGCACCGATACTGAGTACTCACCCCAATGCTCCGATGCCCGACCGATACTTCCGGCGTCATTACACCCCGTCTGGCTTCCTGAATGGGACTTCCGGTACTCTGTGCACCCCTACACAAGCGTCACATGAAGGGGACAGTAGAGTGTAAGCTCCTCTGTACAGAGACTGATGTGACTGTGGGGGGGGGGACATTAACCATTAACACCCCATATGTCTCCCCTGCAGGTCTCTTGTCACTGTCGGTGTGCTGTCATTGGTCGGTTCCATTTTTGGCTCCTACATCATGTGTATGGCAGTGCTGAGTCCATGTCCACCTCTTCTACACAGCGCCATTGGAGGAGCGCTAATGGATGATCATATGGTGGTTCTGTCTCGGCAGGTCGGGTTCTGGGTGCTGTTTGTCGGGATTCTCTCCTATGTGAAGGTTGTTATCGGAATGATTCTGCGGGATGAAGGACACAGCGCCCTGGTCTGGTGCGGTGCGGTGGTGCAGCTGGGCTCTATGGTGGGGGCCCTGACTATGTTCCCCGTGGTCAACGTGTACTCCTTCTTTCGGTCTGGTGACCCCTGCACACAGTACTGCCCCCAATAGCATCCCAGGAGGAGGGGCCCCAGTGACTGCAGACAGAACTGAGAGATGTCATAATGGGAGGTGTCAGAGTGATTGATGGGAGGAGTCATAGAGAATAATGGGAGGAGTCATTCAGACTAATGGGATGTGTCAGGGTGAATGACAGGACGAGCAATGGGAGGAGTCATAGGTAATAATGGGAGGTGTCAAAGAGAATAATGGGAGGAGTCAAAGAGAATAATGGGAGGAGTCATTCAGACTAATGGGATGTGTTAGGATGAATGAAAGGAGGAGTAATGGGAGGAGTCTTACAGAACAGAATTTACATATGTAGAAATGGTGAGAACGTTGTTACTGGAACACGGGAAATGCGGGGAAAGGTTCTCGGTGCCTCTGCAGGTCTGTGAGATGGAGATAAACATTTGTGGTCCTGAGGTAGACTAAGGGGTCTCGGGGTGGGGGATAGTGTAGGGGCCCAGGGAGGAGATAGTCTGGTAGTCTGAGGGCCCAGGGAGGGGATAGTGTAGGGGCCCAGGGAGGAGATAGTCTGGTAGTCTGAGGGCCCAGGGAGGGGATAGTGTAGGGGCCCAGGGAGGAGATAGTCTGGGGGCCCAGGGAAGGGATAGTCTGGTAGTCTGAGGGCCCAGGGAGGGGATAGTGTAGGGGCCCAGGGAGGGGATAGTGTTGGGGCCAGGGAGGGGATAGTGTTGGGGCCCAGGGAGGGGATAGTGTTGGGGCCCAGGGAGGGGATAGTCTGGGGGCCCAGGGA